TAACTGTACTGTATAGCTAAAATGTACCAATAAACTCAATTTTAAAAAAAGAAGTCAGAATTAAAAGTTTGAGAAGATAAATACTTGTCTGAAACGTCAGAGAAAACATCTAAATTAAGCTCAATAATTTGGAAAGTACATTCCATAGTCTCTGGAATATATTTTATCTCCCAAAATAATATTTACATTACCTCATAGGAAAAGAGTTGCTTTTGTGTTCTTGAGACAAACTTCTATGGAGCACGGTTAATATTTTCTCATGTTTTCTGAGCAGGTCTAAGGAGATTTCTACTACAGGGATTTGAAATATATAGAAAATATAATTATTATGCAAATTCTGGAAATCCACTTTTGAACGTGATCCGAGAAGACAGTGGAGCCAGAAGGTGTGCCTACTTTTATGCAGTGTCATTGGGTAAAATTCAGAACTTGCGCCTTCCTGGTTCCTTTGTGTGACCAACTGTTTCGCCTTCTCACTGACACAACCCAATTAGAATCATCTTGTTCCTTCATCCTGGCGTTGTCTGAGCCCCTTGAATCCTTTTGTGGCTTTATCAACCTGTGCCTATCATCTAAGATGACGCTGTGTACAACGGTGGTAAGGGTAAGAGAAAGGAACTCTTTCTGCACAGTTCACACTGATTATCGGCTTTTAGTGTGGACTGTTTCAGCCCAGACTTGTGAGTAAACTGCGCTTTAACACGTGAGGCGGGGCTTTCAGCTTCTGTGAGTGAGCGGGAGCCGATGGCAGGGTTTTATATCCCTCTCGCTTCATCTCTGCAGGGGCTCTGGGTGTTAAAGGCTCCGGAGACGCCGAAAGAGGGCATTCGCTGTGCCCTTCACTGTGCTCTTCAGGGAAAAGCACTGTCACCTCCACGCACTTCCTCCAGCACCAAACCTTTGCTGCGTTCGGATGAAGAAGACCATGCGGAGGGACTGGGTCTTCCTGAGGTCACAGTGGGGACGTGGGCAGTGCTAATCGGCGGCTGCGCGAAACACAGGGGCAGGGTCATTCGGCTGCTGGAGTTGTGTCCGTTTGGTTCCACCTGTTATTCTGTTTGCCAGGGGATTCTGCTTCCTGCCAGACCCAACGGGATTCTCACCACATTCAGGAAGCCGGCTGAGCCCCTTGCAGCAGGCCTTTGGTCCCCAGTACCTCTGTACCCTCCGCTGCATTAGTCTCCATGTTGGCCACCGGCCTCCACCTAACCTCCGAGGTGAATGTGCCATCCTGCTGCTACTGCGTTTTGAAATAAAGAATGCTTCGAAAACTGATCCCTGAAAATTGCTAGCACAGATTTTAAGTCTTCCCAACACACATATAAAAATGATAAATTTGTTAATTTGATAATGTTAATGAGCTCGACTTAGCAGTTGCACAATGTATACATGCATCAAAATATCCTCCATTTTTATCTGTCAATTGAAAGAATAAAAAGAAAAACTGCAACTGAACATGGTGGTGCACACCTCGCTTTGTAGCCCTATGCGAGCCTGAGACAAGAGGATCACAAGTTTGAGCCCAGCATGTGCAAATCACTGACTTACCAATACTCTATCTCCAAAGTACAAATAAAAACGGGTTGGGAGGTAGCTCAGAAAAAAGACCATGGGTTCCTTCCTGAGTTGTGAAAGTAAAACTGCTTTATGATAGAAAATTACTTAACAAATTAGCAGCAACAGCCAATAAGAGAAAAGCTATGTCTGAGGAGGACCTTGAAATCCCACTACACTGCCAAGGGAAATGGCTGCTGCCTTTTTATTTTATGAGCACAGAACCCGTGACTCCAGCCTTCACTCCCACTCGGGGCTTCAGACAGTTGTGTTACAGAGTATTCCATATGGATAGGTAGAGATATACCTATATACATATGTACATAGAAATAAAGTTATTATTTTTAATTTTTTTACAATTATTATTTTTAAAGTTATAAAACAAATAGCCAGGCAATCACTATCAAGGCAAAATAAATTGAATCCTTCCCTTCTTCAGAACTTTCTAGGAAGCCCTTTCCCTTCAAAATCTCCGCTTACTGGCCTATCTTTTCAGTGAATATGATCTTCTCCTTTATCACGTATAAGTTTTTTGTCTGTGTACATGAATCCCTGCCAATGTTCCCCCATGTGTTTCTATATATGTGTGTATGTCTATTATTTCTAGTTATTTTCTTAAATAAGAGAAACGTGTCTCATTTCTTTGTCACACAAAGGAAGTATACATACGCTCTGTGTTAACCTGTTAGTTCTCTATCCCTGTGACAACAGAGCTGAGGAAAAACAATTTAATGAAGGAAAGATTTATTGTGGCTCATGGTTTCAGAGGTTTCAGTTCATAGTCCATGGCCCCGCTGTTTCTAGGCTATGGTGAGGTCGAGCATTGTGAAGAAGAAGGCATGGCAGAGACGAGCTGCTCACCTCACAGCAGCCAGGAAGAGGGGGAAACAGAGACAGAGCGAGAGACCGACCAGATATAGTCCCCAAGGTCCCACACAGTGGTCCAGTTCCTTCAACTAGTCCCTAACTCCTGTTTCCATCGCCTTTCAGTAACGTCATCCAATTAGGATTTCATCAGGGAAATGAAGCATGGGTCACGTTAGAGACCCCATGACCTAGACACTTCCCAAAGGCACCTCAGCAACCCAGCCTTGAACACAACGAGTCCTTTGGGGGTCGTACTGGATCCCACCCCCCACAGGGCCACATTTCAAGCAGGAAGAATGAAACAGCGAAGGTAAGCACTTTCAGTTTTGTGCTAGTACAAGAAGACTTTATGAAATCTCTGTATCCATATTCTGGTGCTCACGGCCAAGAGTTTCTGTATCATGTACAGCTAGGTCACTGGAACAACTGGGTTACATGTGTCTGTGATTCCCAAAGGATGATCCCAAGCTCTTTCACAAAGTTGCTAAACCAACTTATTCTATCCATTTCTGTTAACATGGTAGTATCATCCTTTCTGATTTTTGCGTATTATGAGTATATTGTGCTTTTAACTGTGTCTTTTCCTTATTACTAAGGTGAATAAATATTTCTTCATAGTTTTAGAAGCAATATGGAGCCAGATGTGCCGGTGCACACCTGTAATCCCAGCACTAAGGAAACTGAGGCAGGAGGATTGCTGTGAGATCAAGGCCAATCTGGGCTACACGGTGAGTTCAAACCCAGCCTGATCAGCCAGCACTACAGTGTGACCCTGTCTTCAAAAGCAAAATCTACTTGAATATTTTTCTGTGATTAACTTATCTTCCTATTCTGAATATTTTTCACAAGTTCCGTTTCATGACTACAGAAAACTTTTATTAGCTTAACATGGGTCAGGTGCTTATTTCCAGATCAGTCAGCCTCCAGCTGTGTGCTTAGTTGTTTTCATAAAATGGTGTTCTCAGATGGTGAGACAAGGAGGATTTAACTTCTTACAAAATTGAGGTGGGGTAGAGGGGTTCTTTGGGTGAAAAATAATATTTTCAATTCAAAAGGTCTCCCTTGGCCCTCGTCAATGATGCGAAAGGCATAATCCTGGTGCAAAGAACTGAATAATTGATATTCTTCGGTTCGTCACCTTTACCATCATCGGTGCATAATCATTTTCACCTTTGTCAATGGCCATGGAATCATCACAAGGCCCAAGACTGATGTCCGAAAGCAAGAGAAGAGAGAAAGAATGATCTACACCATAAACCTGACTGACACTAGTCAATTTTTTCTTCGTCATCTTACTTAACTTTTACAACATCTTGCATTAGGAATTGTAATACTTGCTTCAGACCTGAGAATTTACCCAAATCTACCCAACCATTTACAGGTGAAATTGTGATGTAGACTCAAGCCTGACCCCAAGCCTGACTGCATGCCTCACACCCCAAGGACACCTTGAGTCATGACAAAAATCTATTCTTCCCCTATTTGTCTTGTGCCACCGTGAAACTCAAATGGGAACAGCATGCAGCATCGCTATTCTCTCAAAAAGCTGCTACTGAAAGCTCAGCCGATCCCAACTTTGGACTAGAACCGAACAGAATAAAGCCTCTGCTCACAAGAGTCTTGCAGCGTGGCGCAGACATCTTGGTTCCTCCCCCCAATCAAATCACCACCAGAGAAAGTAATGCGTACCTCAGCTGTCTCTCTGTATCCACCCACGCCCTGACACTGCTGTCCCTTGAAACAGGACGCCTGGTGAGAACTGCTCATGATGTGGGCAGTAGGATGAGGAGAAATCCAGTATCTCCTGAAGAAACTAGACATGGCCATGCAGGAGATTTTCCCAGAGGCTGGGAGGCTTGGTTCATTTTTAAGGTATCGGCATAATAAGGCAGGAACTGCAAAGCTAATGAAGTATCCAGTGGAAAGGCAATTTCCGAATTCTGTCACTCTGACTTGAACAGAAAGGAAGACAGTGTAACAGGGAGAAACATCGAATAACAGTGAAGAGGAGGCCTGTTTCTCAAACATTTCTTCAGCCAATTTGCGATCCAGTCGTCTGCACAATATCCCTTGGTAATTGAAATGGTTATTCACTCAGATACTACAAGAGAAAGAAAAGAGGATCCACTATCACAATTCACAGTGATGCCCAGAAATAATCTCTGACACAAAGAACACCACAGTGCTGATGGCAGGGAAGATGAGAAGAAAAGAATGGAAGCCCTGGGCTACAGGGAAATAAATGCAAGACCCCTGGGGCCTCAGATACTGTAAGTGATGACACCAGACAGTACCAGGAGACTGCCAACTGTCCAGAAAGGGACAGGAAGTGGAAAGGAGGACAGGAAGAAAGTACCATGGAATTTGTGGATGTGTATTTCACCACATTTGTGACCTTTCTCTGTTTGTAAATACAGGATACACCTAGTGCCGGTGCCTGTTAGGAAGTGAGAACAAATTGTAGTTCCAAATGATATTGCACAGGCTTTGCAGTTCTCTCTTACTGGTGTTTTCAAAGTGAACCAAGCCACCGTAAGTACTTTTGGGAAAGTCTCCTCAAGAGGACTTTCCCCTCAGGTCTACGCGCCCTGGGACACCGGGAGTCTCCCAGTGACCTTCCTGAGGGCAGCTTTCACGTCCTTGTTCCTCAGGCTGTAGATGACAGGGTTCAGCATGGGGATGACCACAGTGTAGAAGACAGACACGACCTTGTCCTCCTCCAGGGATTTGCCCGGGCTGCTCCATATGTACATGAAGGTCAGGGTCCCAAAGAGAAGGGCCACAGCGGTGAGGTGGGAGGCACATGTGGAGAAAGTCCTGGCCCTGCCTCCTAAAGACTTCACCTTCAAGATGGCCTTGATGATGAGCAGGTAGGAGATCAGGATGACCAAGGCGTTGGCCAAAATCACGAAGTTGCCGAAGACGACGATGACGATCTCAGCGTTCGTTGTGTCACTGCAGGCAAGCTTCAGCAGGGGTGGGAGGTCACAGAAAAAGAAGTTGATCCGGTTGTCCTCACAGAAGGAGAGGGAGAAGGTGCACGTGGTACGCAGGACGGACCCTGACAGCCCACAGACGTGGGCTCCCATCACCAAGCTCCAGCAGATTCTGGGCTTCATGGCCACAGTGTAGAGCAGTGGGTTGCTAATAGCAACACAGCGGTCGTAGGCCATCACGGCCAGCAGGAAGCACTCTGTACCTGCACACATGGTGAAGAAGAAGAACTGGGCAGCGCACTGACCGTAGGAAATGGCCGTTTTGCCCGTGGCCAGTGTGGCCAGGATCTGAGGGGTGATGACTGAGGCGTAGCAGGCGTCCAGCAGGGCAAGGTGGCTCAGGAAGAAGTACATCGGGGTGTGGAGCCGGGCATCCACTTGGATGAGAATAATCATCCCCACGTTCCCCAGAAGGGTGACAAGATAGAAACTGAGGAACACCAGGAAGAGGGGAGCCTCCAGGCTGGGGTGGTCAGTAAAGCCCACGAGGATGAAGTCGGACACGGAGGTGAGATTATTCCTAGCCATGCACTCACCGGGGACCACCGACCCGAGGGTGAGAACAATGTAAAACGAAAATCCAGGCAAGGGAGCAGAGGATCTTTTCTCATGACAAGTTCAGTAGATAATCCTGGACCTATTTTCAGGTGTTGCTTTTCAGAAATACTGGATCTGGCTGGTTCTCCCTGGGTATCTCCTGTACTTTACGGAGCCGAGTCTGGAGCTGGTGCTTCTGATTCGGATTAATTCCAGTTTACATTTGAGAATTGCTGTGGAGATAGAGACAAGCGATTCTCGGGGCTGGGAAGGACCAAGATGACAGCTTCCGTACCCCGATCTGGGGCCCCTTCTAGCGCACACCCACCGCGTGGCCCTCTGGCTGCCACGTCCCCGCCATCGAGAGCAGTCCCTCTGGTAATCTCTCGTGGACTGGATTCTCCCTGTGTACCTCCCACGCTTCGACCTTGACTTTATCCCTTCCAGATACGACAACTGAATCCCGTCTTCTCACGGAGCCTCCAGAAGTGTGAAGATGATGAATCTGCTCCCTCATAGCATACACTGATGTATTTTGCTTATTATTATATGATTATTCAGGTAGGCAGACAGAAATCACCATGTCAGTATTAACACACAGGGTGATTTTGAGATAATTTAAAGGTAATGCATGTTTTACTGTAATACTTTTTAAAATTTAAACACACACCATATTGTTTAGTCAGCCCTTTTACATTCCGTACACTAAAAGCCCAAACAATGTGATTCCACATGCAGAGGAAGAAATGTCACTACACTGGTGCTGCTTCTAGGAGATGCTTTCAAACATCACGTGGAAAAGATGCTCCTTTCCTGGATCACTCCAGATAATTATATTTAGTGAGCTTTGCACAATCCTGACAACCCCGTAAACCAGGAGTTATCGTCCCGGAGGAGAACACCCCGCATAGTGAGGTGTCCAAGCTCACGTTACTCACTGGTGAAAAAAAAAATCCAACCCAGGGCTCTCTCCTTCCAAAGCCAGAGCTCTAACCCACACGATTACTTCCCTCCCCAGCAGAAGTACAGGAGGGAGAGCAACCTACAGAGAAATCACTGCTCTAGGCTCTGTAGTCCGACATCAATCCCCCGGGAGCTTGATATTAAATGTATCCAGCTACACATAACTGCAGAGCAATGAAGGCTGCGGACTTCAAAAGCAATTGTTGTGTCCCTTGTGTTTTTGGGGTACAATCTGAAGTCCGGCCGGACACGGCCCTGTGAGATGACCATGGGCCGGTGGCACAGACCCGTCCCGTCCCTTGTCCCCTCCCCTGGCCTGGACCTCACTTCAGAGCCGGTCCCGGGTCCCCAGGGCAATGTCGTCTCTTTCGCAGCGCGGGGCCCGCGGCTGGGGTCCCTCACCTGAGGCTGTGCGGGGTCCTGCAAGCAGCGAGAGGGCCCGGGTGGACGAAGGCAGCT